CGAAAGGTGTCATCATATGAACGGTCACATCTTCGGCATCAATTACTGACGTGAATGTGTTTTGGCAATCCGATCTCCAGTAAAAAATATTGGTCAGTAATTAATATATTCTATTTAAAATCTGTAAAATATGAAATAAATGGCAATTTTTCTCGTTTTTTASTGAGATGGGGGAAAATTTTTGATCGATTTCAAGAAGATTACCTAATAAATCCTTTTCCAAAAAACTGGTTTTTTTTTCCTTTGGAAGTTAGAGTAATAGAGTACCGTGAATCAAATGTTCATGTTGCGTGCTGAGAGAAATCGCCCGCTTTTACTTACCGCTATTGAACTTTTCTCGTTGAAAGTTGRACTAAAAGAGGACACTCAAAAGTGTATGTTGAGCGCTCAGAGAAATCGATATTACTTACCGCCACCCATAGCTTACTAGAAATTATGTTATAAAGGACACTAAAAGATGACATTTTCTCAGCTAGAAGTAGGTTTTTGCATTTTATAGAATTGATTAGTAAATTCCATGAAGTAATGCATGAAGTAATGCCCACTGTCACAAGAATAAAGGTCGGGTTGAACCACGTACGGGTTCTGTAACAGTAGTTATCACTCAAGCGAGTAAACTGACTGCTAATTGACGATTCKTAAAACTCCAGTGATGCGGTCTTAGCCTCACTTCTGGTGATCAGAGCACTAAAGGGTTCAGTACTCAGGGATTCAAGGCTAAGCTCGCATGCACTGGAGTTTTAAGAGTCATAGCCCATGAAGACACTTCTTCAAAAGAGAACAGATTTTTAAATATAGAAGAAATCTCATCATAAATGGGTAGATTTAAAAAAGTGGGACAGACTTATAAATGGAGTCAACGTTCAGTTGGAGACGAACAGAACGTCTAAACTGAATTTGAGGAGGCTATTGAGATCCTCAAATAAGCGGTTGGCCCCATACTGAACAATAATGCGCGCCAAAATCAAACCCATCATTGACAAAAACTATTAGATGAGGGTCGAAAGCTCGGATTGCTTTTTAATCTTCGTTTTCGGTTAACAGGATTCTATATTAGGTTTAATCAGAGCGTTGTACTAGTTTATACAGTTTGCTAAGTGAAAGATAAGTCCAATGTAGGCTTGAGTCAATGTCAAACATCAAGCGCCTTTTAGACCATGAATGAGGACATTAAAAAACGCTACACACTSTATGGTCCAACCGATGTTAATCCAGGCAATATCCAAGGGATCATGACTGATAACTTAACCATTCCATACAAAATCGTGGCGGCCAACTGGTCGGTAGTCACATGAACCCTGGTCACTTCAATTCATGGCAAAAGCGATTATAGAGTACAAACTGACTTGGAACTTGAACTTGGTTACCGTCCATGAATTAATAATTGAACTTTAATTTATTTAAGATAAGTGTCTCTTGTGATAGTTGTAGCTTAATGAACACGATTTCGATTCCCTCTTTTGGTTCGCTCTTACTGGTATCAGAAGCAATAAGAAGCAGGAAATGAATCGTAGGGAAGATTAATTGATGAGGAATAAAAGCAGTGTCACTTTCCTGTTTTTAAACGGCTATAAGAGCTTTTCTTAATTCCGAGCAATATTGTCAAAAGATATTCCATTAAAACTCCTTCAGTTACATCTAAAAGCTGCACTTATTCTGTTTCTGGAGATAGATTTTAAAGCATTTTAACGATATTTTTCAGTTAAATCTAAAAGCATACGCTTAACGTTTTTGGAGATAGATTAAATATCTTCTTTTGCATGTCAATTAAAGTCTTTGTCTAAAAGAGATCAGTCAAATGGGTAAGCAGCTATGAAACTGAGATGGAAAAATATTGTTTTTTTTCTTCTATTTTCATCAATTCACGTTATATTAAAGGAMGTTTTTGAAAACCTTTCAGTATTTTACTCTTCTAATAAATAACTTGCCATATTTACACTATGGGTTYTGAGTATTTCCCAAAGTATCGCCTTGAGCTATTGTCGGGAAAATCACTACCAAGGACTGGTAAAAATTACAARTCTCCAAAGACGTGACCGCAAACTGTGTGAGTTCGGCTTTGTAAGAGTTTATATAGACGAACGCTTGAACATCTTATAAATCAAGAGAAAAGACTAGTTCTATTTGTGATTAGTATATACCAACTTACCAACCTCCTAAGAACTCGCGCTCTGATTGGACAAATATTCTACCATATTTCACCAAATTCGAAATAATGCTGAAACAAAGATGGCAGCTCTAAACTCGAGTTWTACTAGTACTAGTTTGCAAAAATTCTTAAAACTCCCTTTGCTAAAAAAGAGGAAGACCACAAAAAATGAGTATAAGCAAAATTCAAGGCATAATAAAACATCATGGGATACGTATTGAGTCAGTTTGGGARAAGAGGCCAATTCCCAGTAGACACCTTTCCCCTCAATAAATACGGTAAATATATTGTCGCTTACCAAGTGATATCTTAACAAAAAATTCAATAATAAACAGATGATGTTTCCGATTCAAAGCATTAGCATATGAAAGACCAATCGCCAGTCAGTTTTTTCTAATTCCATTTAAAGTAAATTTGTTGAATATATACAAGGAAACTCTACTTGTACGTACAAGAAAACTATGAGGCGAGTATCTGTTACAACGTTCTGGATATGTAATAATAGTTAATAAGAATAATATATTTATACTCACTTTCGATTTGTGCCACTTTTACTCTCTTACAGACTATCATTACATTCAAATTCTATGGTTAACTATTGCTTTAACCCTCAACTTTTAAGAGCAACACGGACTGAGAAAATCCCCGGTGGCAAAGAGTGACACATCAAAACTCAATTTACGCGGCTGCAAGAATGGAACCAGCAGCGAGATCTGTCGGGACTCAGTGAAACAGATCCATAACAAATTACGAAACTGACATTTTCTGAAACTGACAGAGAGAGGTCGAAACAAGAAGATCCAATTGCTTTTGAAAAAAAGGAAAACATTCAAACGCCGATAAAAGTTGCTTCAAACTTGGAAGCCCCTTACATGCAGCACACACACACATATATACATATAATTCATAGCAAAAGAAGAAATCATTGAAATCATTTGCAAAAGCGAACAAATATCAAATTGCTGGAAGYTTTTTTTGACTTACCAATTACAGCTAGGGTTCAGTTCTGTTCAACATCCTGATCCTGTTCGGACTTTTGTTGTTATTGTGTTAGATCTAATAAATATTACTATCCGTTTGCCTTACGGTTAAGGGTCGAGGTTGAGGTAGAAAGGACGCTTCGACGTTTATTTCGACGTTGCAATGTTTGATTTCTCAAATTCAGTGGCGACTGGGCTGGTCTAAAACATTACTAGACAACAGGTGCATCAAGAGAGCTTGCGTGCGTACCTGTAGTCATGTAGTTAAAACTAAAACACAAGAAACAACATAGATAATAGCAGTAAATATGATTATAATATGATTATATATCGAAAACAAAACAAAACTTTGACAATATATTAAAGTTATTGACCCATGCTGTTTCTTCAAGAGTAATTGCAATACATAATCAAAACAAAGATTTTATTTTGATCACGTATGCAGTGTTATTATAATAACCAGAGTCAAAAATGAATACTGAGAAAACAATAGAATTAGTGTCAAAACTTCTTTAATCAGGACATGCCTTTTGATTATCGCTTGTGAATGAAAACCATTCCTAACTTTTCCATTCTTCTAGTCTCTGCTCACAGCAAACAACTAAAATTTAAAGTGACGAATTTGCCCTCTTTTAACTGGAAATTAGAACGTGGGATTAAACAGAGGAACTCGATCCATGCTGAACCGGCAGGAATGCAAATAAAAATTTGTTTTTGTTTTTGTTTTTGTTTTTTAATTTTGCTTAATATTTTTCTAAGGAAGGCGTACATGTTAAATGATTTATCACTATTTCCATTTCCATTTCTTATAGCAGTTACAATGCTTGTTTTCTTTGGCTTTTTACTCAAATTTACAAGCAATTTTTGCTTCTTGTTTAACAAATCTCATAAACACTTGTCCGCCAGGCACAGAATTGTCCATCAACTCTGGTCATTTTCAARTGAGGGATATTATGTTAAGAATTGGGAAGCATTTTTTAAAGAAACACTGTAATATCGTCATACTATTAAAAGGATTTGAAAAAAAGTTAGAAAAAACGATTTAAAGAAATTTTAAAGGAAAATTTGCGGGAATTTTTTCCAAATTAGGTACCAGTCTCCACTCGGACAGCTTCTCGAACCAGTAACAAAATATATGCTGAGTTCGTGAGCAAAAATGTCCGTTTTAAAGCGGAATCTGGAGACGAAATTATGGATATTGAGCAATATAGAGGCCAGATKTCTATGGCTATACAAATGGCGGTAGAAGGATGATTTTTTATATCAAAAAAAGCACTGGAAAGTCGTCATTTTGGACYGTTTTGCTTTGTTGGGTCAAAGTTAAAAATCCTGAAAAACCGCTACTTGAATTTCTTTCAGTTTCAAAAAGAGCTGAATTTTGGAAGCAATTAAGCAATGGTTAGGCAACCAATTTTAGTTATTACTTTTGAATGATAGTTTTTCACGACGAACTGTAGAACCCGAAATGATAAATTTCCATACRCATAAACACTACAAAACCTGAAATTGGCCCACAAAAAATCGCATGTTGGCAAATTGAATCACCAAAAAAAAAATGGTAGGATTATATTGTGTGGCTGTCTTTTTTTAATATTCCTGTTACTTTTCTTGCATTAACTTTCGATTTTCTTCACGAAGCGCCGTAAACTTTCAATATTATGACTTTGCCTTATAAATATAAATGGCCGTGAGAAGAAAATTGATATTCGGAAACTGGAATCTAGTAATTTATTCTCTAATTTCACGGATGTGACACTGAATTCAGTGCGATKAATCTTGCAAAACTGTCTAAGTAAAGCCGTCAGTGCGAATAAAGCGCGATCCATTTGTAGTGGGAGAACAAGGTCTTTAGATTCGTGCATAACATCAGCTTTAACTTTTGGAGACGGAGAACAACGAGTTACTGCTGTAGTCCTTTTCTGCCTGCTTTCCTCTTTCTCTGGCTTGTAGCAAATCATTAATTACTTCCGTTGTCGTTGCGATACTTGTGGACAGACGGGTAAACTCATCGTCTTTGGTCCAAGGATTACTAAMTACTTCCTCAAGTAGACCCGTCAGCTTCCCACAGCTTTGCGTCTTCTTTGGTGAGGCTGGAGCCAATCTTTATGGACATGCGTCTTGCATGTTGTGATGGACAAATGCTCTCGGAGACGTTTCTTGTACAAACCACGCCTTGTGTCATTGAGTACCTGAGTGCTGAGTCGCTGTAAAGAGTTAGTGTTAAATCCRATGTAACTCCCTCCTGTCTTACAATCCTAGTTGATTGTGTTCTCAATGGTCTTGTCAGCTTCATCTCGCCCGAATGGATTGCGGTTACCCATCTAAACGGAAAACTGACCATTRGTAAATGCGGTATGCACTTCCGGCATGGTAACAACCAGCCTGCACTTCTGACATGGTTACAGCCAGCCCAAGCATGTCATTCAGGAATGGGATTAGGCAGCGTGCGTTATTTTGGTTCAACATAACCTCTCACAGCTCCAATTACGTCAGCAACACTTTCTCAAACTCCTCATGGTTTAGTTCTAGTTTCAGTCGTACCAAGGYCAGTGCCGGCATGGGCTCCACYAATTACTCGAACGTTTTCAAGTGCAGTTTCATTAGGGCTTTATAAAGACGCACATCTCTGTTATACTGCTTGCCACTCAGGACCTTGTCTATAGAACCTTCAGCTACGATATTTCTTTGAACAACTAGTYCCCTGAGCCCAGCATCACAAAATCAGTTCCCGATAACTCCTAAGAGTATCATCCGAAAAATGGAACAGTCCTATCATTAAAACTAGCCCTTTAAAAATCCCCTTGTGCTTCCAGTAAACTTCTATTGCTTTAGCAGAAAATGCCTGATCGAAGACACAAGCAACGGCATTTCATTGTAATCGATCTCACAACCTCTGGACAACACTTCGTACGCTGTCTTCATGTCGGCGGCAGTTGAATTTATAGTGTCCAAGTAACGTATTGCACTTTCCACAACCAAAACATTTTCCCGTATTTTAATGTTAAACCCAGTCTACCCAAGAACTAGCAACAATGGGTGCATTTCAAGCATTTCAACCACTATCAGCCGATATTTTACGAAACTGTGACGTCATATGTGACGACATGCTATCATAACTTGATGTGTGGCACACATGCGATCATCTCTCTGTTCAAACTTATTCCGAGTGCGCTTTAAAATAATATTTACTCTATTTATTAGTGAATATTTACTATTCACTAATAGGGGCTAGGAATCTAAAACGCTCTTCCAGAATTCAAGATGGCGGCCACTATGAGAGCAAAGTGGGTAAATTCAAAATTCCATTTTCTGGGAGAAAGCTACCGTTCTATCTTTGGTATGATACCTTTTCGTGATGCTGAATAGGCAATTATTAACATGGAAACTGTTTAGTTTGTTCCCCTTATGTAAGCCATAAATCCAAATTTTCAGTTCTCAGCTTATGGACTGCTACAGCTCCAGCCGTGCTTTACCAGAGAACAGAACATAGCTAGCTCTTGTGGGTTTGGGGAAAAACCTGGGTTTTGGGGATACTTTGGAAATTTGGAACGAGCGAGAATTGAAACCGAGCAAAAGAAAAAATAAATAAAATAAAAAAATAAAAAAAGCGAAGGGGAACGCCTGCCAGCACTTTAACGGAAATGAAAGACCAATTCTGGTATAACCAATCAAACATGAAAACGTTCAAAAATTTTATAGCGATAACCCCTAGCTAGCGCGAAGTAACCAAGGAAAAAAGGGATATCTGTCATTTGAAAATTTGTTCAAAGATTAATCTCTTGGGATTGTCCTTGATGATATTTTAGAGAATATAAGAAATAAGRAAGTTAGGCCAATTGTATAACTTTGTCAAATGTAAAGCCGTTACGTTCAAACTTCTACCAATCAGAAGCCTCCTCTCGCCCACGAACGAGTTCTTCGAAATAACAAGGACTGCTGGCAGGCGTTCCCTTCTTTCCCCCTTCCCCCGCGTTCCCTTTTTAATCTCTTTCTTTCTTTCTTTCTTTCTTTCTCTCTTTCTCTCTTTCTTTCTTTCTCTCTTTCTTTCTTTCTTTTTTTGCTAGGTCCCATTTTTCTCGCGGGCACGTAGTTGTCAAAGGAACTCCAAAACCCCGATTCTTAATCAACCCCATCATAAGAACGCCTGCTCTACAGGCTAAGCTAGGTCTTACATATCTTTTTGAAAATATAAAACAAAGCTTAAAAAATGCACTCCACTTGAACGAAGCGAATAAGGATTTTGAAAGACTAAATTTTCGATTGCTTTTAAAAATGTTGTCTTCGAATTCATATCATTTCTTCTAAGTAGACTGACCTTAATGATTCCCTGGAACAAAACAAAATCATTGTCTGCTGGATTCCAAAGTTTTCACTTTTTTTTCAACATGCCTCTCTGTGATCGACAATTTACAGCAACATATATACGTTTCAAAAGTAATACGTTGATGGGTTATCTTGTTTGTTTAAGCATTTATACTTTATGAAAATTAATAAATCAACTATATTTTTTTCGTTCCTTACTAAACTTTTGTCGTCTTTTTGCAAAGGCGCTGAACATTTCTATCAACGAATGTGATTGGTCAGGATTTCCTCATTGCATGCAAGTGAAAAAAAGTCAAGCAAAACTTCATTTGAATGAAAAGATCGATATCTTTAACGAGAATTTCAAGTCAGAGCTATTTGCAGCTGGGACTAATAATTGAAGTCTGAGGAAACTTTCTGTGATAATGTTTTGACAGCTTATATTAAAAAAACTGACTTTAAAATTGGGTATGTTGGCAGTATATTTGAATTAATGGACATCGCTTTAGAGTGTATATTAAAAAACAATAAGCGGGTGATCAATAAGCGGGTGATCAATAAGCGGGTGATCAATAAGCGGGTGATAAACTACAAAACTGTGTGAGCGTTTTTTTATTTTTTGTCTTGTTCAAAAAGTATTAAATTTTAAAATTGGAATGTCGGAAAATGTCCAAGTCGATTGATCGCCGTATGAAAATCAAAATAATCAAGCTATCAAAACACGCTCACGCCGTTTTTTTTAATATCCATGCTTATTTATGATCTTTACCAAATTTAGTTGAAACTGGACAATTTATATACCCTATTAATTTTAAGTAGAATTATGTTTTGATTGGTCTCACTGTACTCTTATTTGAGCAGAAATGACTGGAGCGAAGACATGGTTGCCG